TAAAATTACTTATAAGAATATCATTCTTTTATATTGCTATTACGTTGGAAGCTTTTATTTTTTCCATTGCTGGAGAATATCTTAGTAATAAAGTTAGTATATAATTAAGATATATTTATACATACATATATATGTGAAAATATATTTTTTTTAAATTAATATACAAATAAATATATATATATTTATTTTATTTTAGAGTTTATCAGTTAGTACTTCAGCTTATGAATTTCCTTGGTATTTATTAAATCCTAAGAACAGAGGTATAATGATTCTTCTTATGGTAAGATCACAAAAACGATTAACAATTACTGCTGGAAAATTTATGGATTTATCTATGCAAGGTTTCGCAAATGTAAGTCCAATTTTATTTATTTTAATATATTAAAAATGTTTTTAAAGATACATAATATGTTTGTTAGCTCTAACCATTTCTGAAATTTCTATGGTATATAAATAATGTAATGTAAAATAAAAATAATTATTACAAAATTCGCTGTTAACAAATTCGATTATAAAAAAATCAAAAGCAAAATTCATATGCTAACGACAATTTACATTATCACTAAGATTTGAAATTAAAATAGAGTTCGGTAGAGTTCTAAATTCAAAAGATTCTTAAGGAGGATTCTAAAAGAAAGATTCGAAAGATTTAAAGATTCTGAATATTCTGACGTTCAAAAAATTCTCCTAAAATCCTGGTATCTTTTAAAATCCTCTATGTTCATCTCGCGAAATCGCGCGTCTTCAGTGGAGTACAATAATACAATAACATTGAATTAGTCTCCTGATTCAGCGATACTCCCAATCTAAGGAAAATTCTTAAATAAGATTGAGGATTATGCCATCCACAAAGTCTGTTATTTCCTCAGGAAACTGTTCCGCAAGTATTTGCAATAACTTTTCTCAAGATATATAAATTCTCAAGATATAGAATAATGCTGATTGCCGTTGAAACTGACATCCAATTTGGAAAATGCCATTTCAAGCTCCAGAACCATATTGACACTCTAGCCACACCGAAATATTTCTAAACATATAAAGCGAAGAATCAAATTTTTTTCTCAAAAACGGTATTGTTCATGCCATCTGTTCAATGTCTGAACAATGTTAAATTCTATTTATATTGAAATTTATATTGATTTATATTGAATTTATAATGAGATTAAAATCAATATTTTTACAAATTTTGTTAATTAAATTTAGAAAAAATAAACTGCAAAATTTAGAATAGATTAACTAAAAAACAAGAATCTTTCAAATAAAAAATTTATCAGCCTTTTAAAATTTAACGAGACATATAAAAGAATATTTCATATTTGTACTAATAGATTTATAGATACATTCTTTCACTATATATTTTTAATAATTTTTTTACACTTTCACATTTTTACTTTCACACTTTTCTATTTTTTCTTATCTTTTTTTAATAATTAGAATTACATATTTTATTTAGTTGACATTATTGCATTAATACTTTGTTTCATTTTAATAATGAATTAATTTTAATAAAAATTCAGAAATTTTTCGATCAAACGTAAAAAAAATATATAACATTTTAATTAAACACTATATATATTGTTAAATAAATAAATAACCAAATATAATGTATAATATATATTA